CTCATCAACCCTCAATGAACTGTTATCGCATATCTCTGCTATACAGGGTGGTAGCCGAGCTAACCAAAGTGGCAATAACAACATAATGTTCAAATGTTAGCGAACAGAAAACAATACTACTTCCTGGAGGGCCGCTATCTGCTTTCTGCTTCTTGTAATACAAACAAATTCCTCCTGGAAACTCATCAGTCCTACAGTGCAAGTAGGTGTTATCGAGTAGGTTCAAGGCTTTTAGGAACTAGTGTTCAAATGAACGATTTCTCTGATTCTTAAAAGCGAATTTTACGATGAAAAGGTAGCTCATTGGAAATAAGGGTAGAGGTGGTCAGTGGAGCAGATGAAGAAGAAACCATTTGAAACGGCCCGAAACCCGAGAAATGGGACCCCTTCCTTGCCCGTTGATTTGCGCATTGATGCGACTCTCATCGCTGTGCCCTCTTCAACACTACGCTCTCTCTGCTATCTAATCACTCGCCACGTATAGACCTGCGGCGAGTGATTAGATAGTCGGTGGGCGTACCCCGCCAACCGCGCCAAGAGTGAGCCATGCTAGATCGCCGAGGTCAAATCTTTCGCTGCCAATTGCGCGTCGGTCAGCACCCTCAGGAGGTCCGCCTGTCTCCCAACTATGCAATTTCTCCCTTCTTTGACCTTCGTTATTCCGACCAATACCGTTGCGTGGTTTTTTTCATAACTCCATTCAGAGAATCGTTTAGCAGATTTGGAAGGTAGATTTGAGATCAGCGTTCAAAGGCACATCTAGGCGTATAAATCTTCTTGAGTGGTCCACGGCGACCTGGGAGCCTTTCCTTGTGAGATAGAACTCGTCCATCCTCACTTTCGGGGCATCCGGTCTGCGGTGCGTACACGGACAGTATTGTCCAGTACCCCTCCTTCGTGTCTATCCTCACAGCCATGATCGATCGCTGATCCTGTTCACGGCCGATGTCAGACTTTGCGAATCGCGCGATTCGCTACTAGCGATTCGCGCGATTCGCTAGCGTCCGCGGTCGCGTTGCGGTACCAGCCAATTGAGTGATTCACTGGCCGCGACGCGACCGCAGACGCTAGCGAATCGCGCGATTCGCAAAGTCTGACATCGGCCTTAGGGCGGAGGCATAGTCCACAATGCGGCTCCGCTACCGCTATGGCCATGCCGTTCCGCTTGGTGTCTTCTCTAATGTAGTGGAGTTTGGCACTTCTCCTATTTCCCGGGCTTCTCACTCCTTTCCATCGCGTCTCCTGAAGGCACAGGACTTGGATATTCCTGCGCGTCATCAGATCAGCAACCTCTCGGGACTTCCCAGTTAGCGATCCTACGTTCAGAGTCCCAATTCGAACTAGCTTCTTTGGCCGAGGCCGTTCACTCCTCGGTAGCCCTCGCATACTGACCACAGAACTCGGGCGGGGGTTCTGCGCGCCACTTCCGGGTGACGTCCTAGCTTTATCACTGATTCTTTTTCGACTTTAGACATATTTGTTGTGACGGTGGGTCTTCATCAGTCAGGCCTGTCAACCTGGGCCTGACGCTGGTACTGAACTATTGTCGCAATGTTAAAAGCTTATTTTCTGCAGTGCAGCGGTATAATTGCGGCGGGTCGAACTTAGCGACTTCCACGAGGCTGCAGACATGGCTATGAATTCTCAGCCAACTCGACTATTCCTGCTCAAATCAGTCGAAGAGCTTAAGCTAAGTAAATAATGAACTCTCGCGGTGAGATTTATATTATTTCGCTAAATCATCAGCAGCCTTCTTAGCCGCAGATTAATACGTAATCGAACTGGTAAAATGGCGAGTGACAGCATAAACGTTCACAATTTGCACTATCAACGTTCTTGGTTTGCTCGGAATTAAGGTTCAAGAAGGATTGAACAAAATTTTATCGATATTTTAATTTTCTAGTTAATGTTCATGGATTCGGGTAGTTGATATGATGTTCATCCGCCACTCATCCATCTTATGGAGCGTTCATAGTTGGCGATCGTACGTGCGATTAGGCGATGATTCAAAAAGAAAAGTATACGTATCGATTAGGCGATTAGGCGAGTAGGCGATTAGGCGAGTAGGCGATTAGGCGAGTAGGCGAGTAGGCGATAAGAGAAGGATAATGTGTATTGATTTGATGCTCCGCCCATCGAGCGATCGCTAATCGCCTGATCGCTGATCGCGCTACCCGCCTGATCGCCTACTGCCTACCTCGCCTTCAATCGCCAGTCTCTTACGGCACATTTTTCATTATAGCTAATCGCCTAATCGCTTACTCGCCTAATCGCTCGTGCGATCGCCAACTCTGAACGCTCCATTAATAAAGCTGATTGCCCACCAATTGTGATTAGTAGCTTCTATTAATGTAACTCGTTACTTCAGTTGGATCAAATGAAGGTGGACCGGTTCTGGACTTGAAGCAAGCTGATGTGCTCATAAGTGCCACCACAGTGACAGGGTGGCGGGGGGGGGGGCCAAATCTTCGAGAGTAAATACCTTCAGTGAGTTTCATCTGTGGGATCAATTAAGTGACAGCTAGCACAAACACACTGATGGGCCATTTCCACAGGGAGGCGTCGTCAATTGAAGAGCTCAGAGAAGTAAATGGCGAACTTTTGGATTGGGCAATCGATCGTGCCTTAGCATTGTCGCAGTCATTACTGGATGGTTTCCATCACTCACAACTATTGTATTGTGCGATCCGGCTCACGATTCTCGTTGGCCAGGTGAATATAGGATTTTTCTATCTAGGCAGTTTCTACGTTCTACCTTAGCACCATAAACATTTGTTTGCTTGGCAGCAGGATGAATAACGGTCGAGAAGTTCTTCGACCAGGGTTCTGTATTGTGCGAGAGTAGTGCCGAGAGTGAACGTACGCGTGGAGAACACAGACAGCTCGCGCAGCGAGTGTGAATGTCCGCGCGGGAGAATGTAACTGGTCAGGCGAAAGTCCTCGAGCGCTTGCCTGATTGAGGAATCTTTCGACAACGTTATTCACCCTGCTTAGAAGATCTTAATTGAAGAAATGCTTGAGTGGGTTTTTATTTTATTTCAGCTACCTTCTTGACTACTACACAGGAACTAATTGTGGTGATTGGATTGAATCACTTGCTACCAGTTCGAGCAAAACAAAGGTTAGAGATTTGATTCTAAGGAGCCAGCTTTATAAGATTCGGTTTAGGTATAAATTTGGCGTCGACTTCAGGAAATGTTGTTCTTAAAGGCATTGATTGCGATAAATTCAAGAAAGGCTTTAGTGTGACGTGGTGGTGCTCAATGGTACGCCAGTAGCGAAAAAAGCAGAAAAAATCCGTCAAAAACGCAAAACGGGACCCTTTCTTTTTGTTTTCACTCATGAACAGGTAACAGCTCAGAAAGTGGACGTATGAACGAGTTCACCGCAACGCGTTTGATGGCACCATGCCAAACTACGCTTTAATCGAGATGCTCCATTTGCGCCGCTGCTGGCCACGCAGCTCGTCCAAATCAACAAGTAAACTAGTGGGCGGATCGCTTTTGGGGGCGGAGCGCTTTCGAAGTCCTGCTCAGCAACCAGCGCACCTTTGTCGTTGAAAGGCGCCACACTCGCCCTCCTTGGCAGCCAAGTAACTGATTCGTGTGGTGGTGAACAGAAATCTGCAGTTTGAATTCAGAAATGTGGTGCCTTTTCCAGAAGCATCTTTAGATGCAAATCATTATGAGGAGCAGTGTCTCGGTTTTCCCATCTTCTGAGCAGAGTACCCAGATTTTGAGACTGACGGCTGATATTGATGGCTTTGGGAATCTTCATATGTCTGAAACCTTCATATTCTCCAATCACTAGCGACAAAACTGATAAGGGCAAGCGTAGGAGAGGTGATAAAAAACAGATGCTTTTTGGTCGAGTTTTTGAGAAAAACGCAGAATCAGTTCAGGAAGGATTCGATCCCGCGACTAGTTAACTGTAATTCCAAATCCGTGCCATTTCGTTCTCCTGAAACAGAAATTATATTCAGCGTGGGGGAAAATCTACACACATCAGAAAATTTGTTCTAAGCAATTTAAATTTCTAAACTCGTTCAACATATCGAAAGGCTCTTGAAGATAACCGCTGCTGTCCCTCTATGACAGCTGTGCATAAGAACAAGGGAATGAACGTGAAGTTAGTTTGAAAGCAATCAGTCCCAGCATGGTGTACCTTCGAACACTAAGGCACGATGCTTTAGCCCTAGTCAAGGGCCTACGAAGTGTGATTGAACAAAAAAACTCACCTTAGAAAGCGGCTGAAAAGGGAGCTGAACGACTTTGAAGTGGGCGTGATTGGAATTCGGCGAGGGGATTGCCACCTTACTGAACGACCACGCCCACTTTTGAAGCGTCTTAGCCTTTCTAGCCGCTTTCTAAGGCGTGTTTTCTGTTCAATCATACATCGTAGGCCCTTGACTAGGGCTAGCGCACCGTTCGACACCATTAGTGTTGGGGGTAAAAGCCCTGCTAGGACTGCTGCTTTGATGTTACTTTAATCGCGGCCCTTTCTGTTGATTCACGAATTTTCTGGCCATCAACTCATTGATGTGATTTAGGCGTTGGATGCCTACGCCAACATCATACAATACTTGTCAACCAAGTATCGAAGTCAGCCAATGAGAATTCTTTCCATCTGTAAGTTACTTATCCATTCATATATTCGTCATGAAATGTAGAGCTTGAGTGGTTAAGGTGTGCGCCGAAATGGTAAGTGCAAATTTCTATGCGGGGCAAAAAAATCTTTCCTAGTATCGCAATCAGATATTCTCGGCGACCCCCCAGCAGGGTCGGTCCTATCGTTGCTACTTTTTGAAAAATTTTTACGACCCCCCTCCCCCAAGGTGGACTTGGTACGACCCCCTTTTCGACCCTCGACCACCATATTCCTCTCTATAGTATTTAATTCTGGTACCACTCAACCCACCAAACTCCGCCCACTTTTTCCTCCAAAAATGCCGTCGAGCGGGGGTATATACGCGCGCTGAAACGGCGAAATTTTTCTCCCGTGCGCTCCCAACTCACCTAGCCTACTACTCGTGAAAACTCGAGTTTCATCAACCACAAACTGAAGCGGATACGACCCCCCCTCCAAGCTAAACCAAGTACGACCCCCCCGTTGGTACTTGTACCAACGTACAAGTACCAACGGGGAGTCGGTACTGCCCCCAGAAGGCCGCGCCAGCAGAAGGCAGAGTCGGCGGACGAGTTGCAGCGCGTGGTGTGCGATGTAGGACGTGCAGTGGGACACTCTATTTAACTTGACGCGAAATCCCTATAGTACGCGCGCGACTCGTCCGCTGACTTTGCCTTCTTGCCGCGCGACGGGCCTCCTGGGGGTACCCGAGAAACTCAGACAATCCTTATCTTTCATAGGCCACTTCTCGGACACATGCTCAAAAGGTTGACCTCGATGATGTCGTCGCTTCCGAAGGCACATTCCGCGATTAGCTGACACAATGAAAATAACGCGCTATAGGTGGAGTGTACCGTAAGCCCCCAGTTTGTTAGCGACCCAGCGAGTTTTCATGCCATAGTAGGGTGCGATGTGGCTCTACCTTACACTTGAAACTCCGCCTACCATCAAAGGTGATACCGCCTGATCACAGAGCTTAGCTTTTAATCACAATATCACAAGGAATAGCGTGAATATAGACAGTGAAATGGGTCTAAGTGAAAGAACTGCTTGTATCCCTTAATTGATGATACATCATCAACAGAAACTCACCTAAATCCCCCTCTTCTCCCTGTAGCTGTGGATCTTTCGCTGTTGACCACAAAAACGACTGCCTTTTTATGAAATCCGGACAATTTCTTCTGCGTCCGTGGCTGATATTGGACTAATAGGTACCTCAAACTTCATTTCTGAACCACATCTATGTATGTAGTTGAGGAATGTGTCTTTGGTGTGTAGGAACGTTTTCTGCAGTCTGCCATGTTCGGCTGTCTTCCCAGTGGATGATGCCCGTAGTAATCTGTTGTCAGTTGTCGCATGAGTATTGAGTTGTCTCTTATTTCGTTTATTCAAGTTTTATCTCTTCTAGAAACAACTGATCAACAGCATAACCACCATCATGGTCACTGATATGCGTGCATTTGCTAGGGAGCGTTTGGAAGCTTTCCGCCCAGAATGAGTGAAGCTGGAAGCTGAAGAATCTGGGTAGGTCGTATTTGGGGTAGTCGTTACCTATAGATGCTGATTCGGGGCGCAGGAGAGGCGATAGTCCGATAGAGCGATGCCAATGCTATATGGTGGATGAGGTATCGTGGCCCTGGCTATCTCCCTCAGAACGTGGTGAGTTGGCATTGCAATGTGAGGTCTGGGTACATTCGGAGAAAGGAGAATCTGAGACGTTTCTGACGATTCCCTCGCAATACCGAAGCCAGCCTAGAGGGCTATTCCGCGCGCAATGCTTGTTTTGTCCTCTTACAGTGAAGTGGTTCCTCAACCAGGACAGCCGGCAAGCACATCAAACCGAGGGTAATATCCCCCGAATACGGGTTTACGATTTGGTTGAGCTGGTGCTTCCTGGCTGCGAGGAAGCCATCAGCCGTGTTGTCACCAGGGTCAACCGTCACGTTCGAACATTTTCGGGATTTTTGCGACCCCCTGTTTTTGTTAATAAGAGTGCTAGACATGAATCCGTTGCGCCAGAAAGCGTCTGCGTTGCGGCGTCAGCCTTGGAGCGCGGCAGGTATCACCCGGGCGCTGGAAGAACGGGACGCGGCGAAGAAAAAATTTTAGAGGGGAATAACTTTCTTGGGACGTATTTTTTGACTTGTTGAGGTAGATTTTGATTGTGCCTGAGGTGCGCTTTCAGAAAAC